CTGTGCGTGTGCAATGCTGGGAGTGTGCAACGCTGGGAGTGTGCAATGCTGTGCGTGTGCAATGCTGGGAGTGTGCAACGCTGGGAGTGTGCAATGCTGTGCGTGTGCAATGCTGGGAGTGTGCAACGCTGGGAGTGTGCAATGCTGTGCGTGTGCAATGCTGGGAGTGTGCAACGCTGGGAGTGTGCAATGCTGTGCGTGTGCAATGCTGGGAGTGTGCAACGCTGGGAGTGTGCAATGCTGTGCGTGTGCAATGCTGGGAGTGTGCAACGCTGGGAGTGTGCAATGCTGTGCGTGTGCAATGCTGGGAGTGTGCAACGCTGGGAGTGTGCAATGCTGTGCGTGTGCAATGCTGGGAGTGTGCAACGCTGGGAGTGTGCAATGCTGTGCGTGTGCAATGCTGGGAGTGTGCAACGCTGGGAGTGTGCAATGCTGTGCGTGTGCAATGCTGGGAGTGTGCAACGCTGGGAGTGTGCAATGCTGTGCGTGTGCAATGCTGGGAGTGTGCAACGCTGGGAGTGTGCAATGCTGTGCGTGTGCAATGCTGGGAGTGTGCAACGCTGGGAGTGTGCAATGCTGTGCGTGTGCAATGCTGGGAGTGTGCAACGCTGGGAGTGTGCAATGCTGTGCGTGTGCAATGCTGGGAGTGTGCAACGCTGGGAGTGTGCAATGCTGTGCGTGTGCAATGCTGGGAGTGTGCAACGCTGGGAGTGTGCAATGCTGTGCGTGTGCAATGCTGGGAGTGTGCAACGCTGGGAGTGTGCAATGCTGTGCGTGTGCAATGCTGGGAGTGTGCAACGCTGGGAGTGTGCAATGCTGTGGAAAGCCGCCCTGGGCCTTGCTGCAGCATGACAGCAGCCAGCCGCTTCTCTCGGGTTTTCTAACCTCTCCCACCAGAAGAAAAGCAAAAAAACCAACCACATTTCAGCCACCCCTAGTAGTGCTTTGAATTTTTATTAAAACCAAGGCGAAAATCGCTTTTTCTTGAATATAACAATCCCCGGGAATAGAAAAAGGCTCCGAATCCACCTGAGCCGCAGACACACGTTTTACGCGGGGCGTCGATACAAGGCAGCAAGGGTTTAAATAAAACAGGGTCGCTGGGACGCATCGGAGAGCCCCGGGCGCCCCTCCGCCCTGAATTCGGGACCTGCCGAGGGCATTTCCCCCCA